TTAACTTATTTGCAGATGTGCTGGTATTGTAGGTGGGGGGAGCTGTGGAGCCCCCCCCCGGGGTGGTGTGGGGGTGCTGGCTGGGGGGGCTGTGGGGGCTGCCTGCGTGTGACAGTGGGGATGTGCAGGGGCAGCTCCGAGGGTCCCTGTGCGTGGCGGGGGAAGCCGTGGCAGTTGTTTGTGTGTGACAGGTCTGGGGGGAGGCTGCTGTGGAGTGTGGGAAGCTGGGGCTGTGTGGGGGAAGCTGGGGGGTCTGGGGCAAGGGGAGGTGTGGGGGAACCTCCCTGTGTGGCCCTGGGGTCAGCGCCTGCCGGGCTGTCAGGGTGAGGCCTCCCCTCCTGCCTGTGCCTTAGTAGAAGAGTTGCAGGGGATATGGGAGGACATTTTTCAGTCTGGCGGTGAAAACCCCGCAGCAGCCCTCCTCAGCGTGTAGAAAGGGATGAAACGTCCCTTTGATTTCACTGTCCTGACAGTGCAGCTTCTGCTTCTGCAGCAGGACGTGGTTCAGGGAGAGAGGTTGGGAGTGTGAGGATGGGGGAGAGGATCTCTGCTTAGGGCTGCTACATTTATCAGCGTGGGAAGGGAAGTCTTGGGGCTGAAACTGTATGAAAAACCTGTCAGAAAACCTACCAGGCAATGTGCTCTTGTAGAATTCTCCCGGTAGTCCTGATGTTCGCTATTTCACCGTTGAACTGTTGTGGCAGTAATGTAAAGGTGCAGTATTTGTCCCAGAAAGCAAATTATTTATGTTCCCATCTAGTGAAGAATGATGTGACAAGTTTTTCAATGAGTGGCAGGCAGGAACAGTAGCACATTTTGGTGACGGGACTAGAAGAAAAAAAAATTAAAAAAAGAAAAGAAAGAAGAAAAAAAGTCCCCAAGGGTTATTTCTTTCACACGTGGTATTAACTTTTAGATGTACGGAACCCCTGGGACGTGGCTGTACCATATGAAAATCCTCTGTTCCCACTTGAAACGAGTGGGAATTTTCAATAGCAAAACTGCAGAGCTGTGCAAGGCCTTTCCTTGCTCCGGCTGCCTTTGCTTGGAGAAGGCAGGAGCTTTGACTCTTGCTGCTGGAGGAAGTTATTTTTCAAAACTGAGGTTGGAATCTGTCTCTGTCCTCTTATCTGTACCTCACTGGAGAAGGTGGGCCCTGTTGCTCAGTAATGAGGTGACAGTCTTTAACAGTAGAGTTAATTGAAGTAATATTACCTATTTTCCTGGTAAAAAGAATCTGATTGGTTTTTTTAATATGCTAAACATGACTCTGACTAAATGTAAAGTCCATTTACGTGATCCGTTTTAGACTATTGCTTTTTTTTTTTCTTTAATCATGTGCTGACTGAGGGTTTTACTGTATAAAAGTTGTCAAATTCTGTCATTTCTCTGTGTTGTTACAGATCATGGCAGCAGAACAGACTCCAGCAGCTTCTGTCATCGACAGGGCCATCAAGATAAGGAAGGAGATTGAAGCCCGGAAAGTGGTCTTGGCCTGGGGATTCCTTAATGTGTCCCTTGCAGGCATGATATATACTGAAATGTGCGTTAATTGTCACAGATGAATCAAACAAGCAAAGCCTCCTACTTTGTATCTCCCTGAATATTTCCTGGGACTGAATAGTTGCAAAATTATAACTTTTTTTTTTCCTTTTCAGGTCTGGAAAACTCATAAGTTCATATTACAACATCACATACTGGCCACTCTGGTATATTGGTGAGTTGCTGCAGCATTTAAATCAGTTTTTGGGGTTCTTTTCTTGTATTCCCTTGTCAGTTTTATTGCTGGAGAGGTGGTCTTTAAATCAGCTTTTTTTCCTCTCTAATTTTTTTTTTTTTAGTTTTAAATTTATCCCAAAACTTTGGTTTGCTTTCTGCTATCTCCCTTGAAACCCACTTTAGGGACAGGTAAGGAGTGTTAATGGCTTTCTTAGATAGGAATAACTTATTTGGTGCGTTAGATTTGTTTAGTGTGTGGAGTAAGGCTTGGGGAACATGGCAGTGTGCCGTGGGCTTGGATGGCATTTCACAAGAATTAAAGTTTGTTTTGGAGGAGTAGAGTCTAAGCCAGCTGTATCAAATATGATTAGAGGATGAAGCAAGAGGAGGAGAAAAATCATGAGATGAGTGACAGATGATTTAACAGAAGATGGTTTTTGAGAAATACTGTGAAACTTAATTGTGGTAGATTTGGAAGATGGCTGTCCATCTTTAAAAACTGAATTGTAGCAGTGTAAATTAATCTCAATACAGAAAGGAGAATTATCTCCAATGTTTCTTACATGAAAAGGTGAAGAAATCTTAGGTATTGCCCAATTTGGTACTTTTTGACAGCACTAATAATGACCTGTTTTTAATAGGCATATCTCCATTTTTGCAAACAGTACACTTTTATTATTCCCCGTGCTCAAGCTATGGTAAAAACTTCTCTGTTTCTTCTAGAACTTGTACTTGCATCTCTATTCAGCCTGAATGCCTTATTTGATTTCTGGATGTACTTCAAATATACGGTGGCACCGACCAGCTTGGTCATGAGTCCTCGCCAGCAGAACCTGCTGGGGCTGCAGAATGCAGGTGGGTGCAATAAATATCTTTGGCAATCCTTTTTAATTCTTTTTTTCTGTTTCAAGATGGTGTCTTTCTCAGCGGTGGGATTCTATTTTTGGAGGGAGTTCTGAATCGCCTCCTCTGACAGGAGCAGTAAACTGAGTTACCCGCAGCCTCTTAAAATTCACAATGGCAAGTGATAATTTGTTGAGTGTTTGTGAGGAGAACTGGGGGGGAAACAAGCACGGAGATGGTGAAAAAGGGCAGGGTGAGAGCGGCTGCCGAAGGACAGGGAGAGACTTGAACACTGTGAGGTTGGACAAGGAATTTGTGCCTTGTCCGTGGAACTAGGAGCAAGGCAGAGAGCGCAGGTTTCTATTTAATTTTGATGTCCTACTACTGTCACGCTGGGTAAGGAGAACCAAATGGGAGGGACAGACAGACCTTTGTGTGAAGTCGGAAAATGAGCCTAGAGGGTGGTCACTCAGAAAGCTTTTGAAGAGCAAAGCGAAGTTCTAAAAAGAGCCTGATGAGGTAAATGTACCAAAAGCAAAATGCCAGCAGTGTAGTATTGCGTTCTGCTCGTCTGCCCCTAGAAAATGGGCAGCAGGTGGTTGTAAAGCTCCAGTACCAAGGTTCAAGCATCTCCTGTGTTTATATGCAGAGATAAATGGAGACATTCAATGCCTAAAGATGCACAGAGTAGGCAGGTAGAGGAGCTGTTGAAATAGGGGATGGAGTAGAGAACCCCCCTGGGTTACACAAGGTGCCTGGTAACACTGAACTGAAATCTGAAGCTGCAGGATTCGTGCTGAGTTGTGGTCCTGTGTCTCAGTCTTCTCTTTTTTTGTCAGTGGCTTGACTGCTGAGCTCTGTAGGGGTCTTTTCTAGTGTCCCTTCTAGCATCTTCTTTAAATCGCATTGAAATAGTGTTGTGTATGCATTTAAAGGGGGGAGGAGAGTTTGGGCCTGCTGCATCCACAATGCTAATTCTGTTTTTCCTTCTTGCAGCGGTACAAACAACTCCACCGCGTGAGCTGGCAGCAAAGAAAGCCCCGTCTTTGACACCTTCTCCTCCCCTCCGGGGCCAGAGTGTCCTGAGTTACAGTCCGTCCCGCTCCCCTAGCGCCAGTCCAAAGTTTACTACCGGTTGTATCCCAGGGTACAGCCCTCAACTACAGGCTCTGTCAAGCACCAGCGCTTCTTACGGCAGTGCTGGAACCTATTCACCAGGCAGCAGCTACAGTAAGGTAAGGACCAGGCCAGCTCCTGAGGGTACAGGTTGGGTCTTCGTTTGGTGCCCTCTGCCACTGAAGGGAGCAGCAGCCAGCGGAGAGTTGTCCATATGTGTGTTTGCTCCTTTTGCAAAGCGGATCTCAGTTTGTTGTATCGGGATTTGCCCTTCTTCCCTATTGTCACCTCATTTGGTTAGAGCAGATGGTTTGTTTCAGAACAAAGCAAAACCAAGAAATCAAACTGTAAGTGCAAAGGACACCAAAAAAACCCCAACCCAAACCCCAAACAAGAGTCTTTTTATTTTTATGTCATTTACAAATCAAGGTGGAATTCTGTCTTCTTTATCTGATACAACCTTTTTTTCCTATTTGTCCAAGGTTTCCAGCTTCAGCTCCTCTCCCAGCGGGTCACCGTACCCCTCTAGCGTTGGGCCAGTGGAAAGCAGCAGTTTAAGGTCTCGTTACCGCTCTTCCCCCATTCTGTATAATTCTCCTACGGGTGAAGAGGATTATATGACAGACCTCAAGGCACTGCACACCTTCCTTCGGAACGAAGAACAGAAGCAGCAGAGAGTCCAACTAGGTAAAAAACCAAGCTGATTTGATTGGGAAAGCTTGGTCAGAAGAAGGGGTTGGGTTTGTTGGAGATTGGCTTTTATGGATGAGAAAAGTCACAGAGGATTCTGGCATCGTCGTACTAGTAAATAAACCTAACTTGTTTATGGTAATCACCTGTGACCTTGGTAAAAGTGGCTGCTGACTAGTTTAGTCCTCTACGGAGTGATTAGGGTGTGATTTCTACCGTGGTTTAGGACCTTCGGAAAGTTTTCCTCTCAAGTTTTCCTGGGGATGGGCTGGGAACGTGTGCTGAGAGATTGTCTCTGTGGCACTTGTTGGCCGTAGTGGCCCGTGATACACTGCTGGGCTCTGTCGCCTTGTGATGAGAGGGATATCTTGTGGAGGAGGCGTTTCAGATACGGGGGGGGTGAATTACCTGCAGGCAGTTTTTGTCCTGGATAGGGACAGTCGGGGTGCAGTCGGTGTTTCTGCAGACTGACCTCAGTGTCCCTATCTGTGGCAGTTCATGTCTGTGTCTCTTGTCAAAGCTTTCATGTACTGACCTGCTGTGCCAGTGCTGTCGCTTCAAGAATGTCTTGTCAATAACTGTACGTGACTGTTTAATAAACGAATCATTGCAGGAAGTTCAGATTCCAGCTCTCCTTCCACCAGCCCAACTTTCTGGAGCTACAGCCGTTCCATCGCTGACTGTGCACAGGTACTGAGAAAGTTCCAGTACCAGCTGGCCTGCAGGTCCCAGGCTCCATCAGCACACAAGGATGAAGCTGATCTGAGCTCAAAACAGGCTGCAGAAGAGGTATTCCACAGCAAAAGTAGTCAAGAGAGAGAAATGGGGCTCTGAAGTACACAGATTTGTGCAGAGGTTTGGATTTGAGCTGCACCAAAAATGTGGGGGAGAGAAAACCTCTAGCACTGAGCTGTCTTCATCCAGCGTGCGAGGCTCCTGGTCACTGTAAATGGCCATTGCAGACTCTGAACTGTAGTGGGAAAAATATTTCTCCCTTGGAGAGCAAGGCTCACACTAGATAAAATACATTTCTGCTCTAAAAATCAAGCTGAAACCGATCTGTATTTAACCCAGTGGAACAGCTGAAGGATATAAAGCATAAAGCCCCTATGCTGGCCTCTGACGGAAGTCTAATGCACAGGAATACAATTCACATGGCTTCAGTTAAATTTGATCGATAATTTCCTACGTTAACCTAATGAAAATTCCCATTCAAGTACCTCTTAAATGAAGCCTAGAGTTCAGAGCAATTTTATCCTAATAGAGCAGAGAGTTTCAAACTGAATTTGGACTCCTGCAGGATGATTGTAGCATGGTGTGAAGCTGCTGTAGGAGTCCCGTGATCCAGCCAGCAGCTGCATAAGAATTCGGGGAAAAATGCGATTGGAATGATGTAGTTAGTGTCACAAATTGTCACAGACCCTCAAAACTCTTGGTATTCTCTTAAGTTCTTACATGTACTTAATAAACCTTTCCATAGGTTTGGGCGCGAGTGACGATGAACCGGCAGCTCCTTGATCACATGGATTCCTGGACTGCCAAGTTCAGAAATGTAAGTCCAGTCTTAGGGCAAGACGTCCCGTCTCTGTGACGAGGTTTGGTTTTTCCTTGCTGTAACCCAAATTGATATTTGTGCAGTATTCCTAACTCACTCTCCTGGGCTCAAAGTGTGTAAATTTCCCACCCAAAGGTTGGAGTGTTTTTTGTCTGTTGTGAGCTGCATAATAAAAGCAAAAGGAAAAACCTTGATCTTAGCAATAGGAATTGCTAGAGCAGGGGAAACTTAGTTGCACACAATGGCAAAATAATTAGTAAATCTAGATTTGAATTAATTGCCTCTTCAGTTGTAGCGTCAGGTATGTAGTTTTGCTTGTGTGTTTTGTGTGGTTTTCTTGGTTTTTAATAAGACTGGTGAAAAGCAAAGATGAGTGTGAGATCCATGCCAGATTCCTGAGCATCTGTTCCTAAACCCAGGCCCAGCACGCTTCAGTTCTCAAATCCTGTCGCCTACAAACCCCACACCTTGTGTTTATCAGCTTCTTGATTTCCTCAAACAATTGTGAGAGGGAGTGGCCTCATCAAAGTATAAATTCCCTTTGTGGGTGGAGGGCTGTGCTTCATAACACCCCTTTCCTCATTGTTCAGAAAAGCTTTGGAAAGAAAAGCTTTATCTGATACTATCTAGGGATTTGTTTTCCTGACTCCTTTATTTGAGTGTTCTGGTCTTTTAGACCTTTTAGTCCATTTTTATATTGAATTTTCTGGTTTTTAGAAAGTATTAGAGAGTCATTTAAACTTCATCTAGCTTGATATTCTAATTTAATTACTTCTTGGTTGGCTTCAGTATTTCTGTTGCTAAGCTGCTTTGTGATTGTGATGATTAGTAGGATGTAAGCTAAAGGTTGAGGGGTTTTAAACATTTTTCTTGCTTCTGACCTCTTGAATTTTCACCTTTTTCTTTCCTAGTGGATTAATGAGACTATTCTAGTGCCACTTGTCCAAGAGATCGAGTCTGTGAGCACTCAGCTGCGAAGAATGGGGTGTCCGGAGTTGCAGATCGGAGGTAGGATGAGGCTTTGGAGCCTCTTCTTACCCTTCCTTCTTACCTCCCCCTTTCTTACACACACCCATGCCTCATTTAGTGTGCTGTAAATTTGCAGTGTCTCCCTAGAAAGTCTCACTGTCTCCCCTACTACGACTGGTTCCAAATGCTCCCTAAAATAAATGTTTTTTAAAATCCTGCTGAACTCCAGTTCTATTTTTTCTGTCACTGTACAATTCTGAAAGAACTGCTTCTCTTCTTGCTTCAAATCCATACGTCCTTAACCGAGAAGTGGATTTGATAGGCTGCGTTTAAATCAGACCCACCTTTTGGGGGCTCTTTGTTGTGTTTCCTCGAGAGCTGCAGCTCTTGTGGTGCCTCTAGAAAAACTGGTCCGTGCCGCTCTCGTCCCCACTTTGTTACTGGCCCTCTGCTCTTCAAAGTCGATGTAGCTTTTCTATTCTCTGACGTAAAGGCGACATCTGCCACTTCATTGGAACTGAAATGAGTGTTTGGGGTTGTGTCAGATGTTCAGTGCTTCTAGGACTTGATGCACCAACCAGGGGAGCTCTCTGTAGCCCCACCTGGCGCGGGAGGCGCCTGGGGGCCCTGTGGTGCTGGGGCTGAGCTGTGCTGGTGCTTCCTCTCTTGCAGAAGCCAGCATCAGCAGTCTGAAGCAGGCAGCGCTCGTTAAAGCTCCGCTCATTCCAACCCTCAACGTGCTTGTGCAGTATCTGGATCTTACCCCAAACCAGGAGTATTTGGTTGAGAGGATCAAAGGTATGTGCTGTCACCAGCCTGACTTTAAAACTCTCCCGTGACCAGTCAGGTGTTGTTGGTGTCACCCTGGAGGTGTTTGAAGAGTCACGGCAGGGATGAGAGCTGCTTTCTAGCAGCAGAGGTGTTTCTCTGCAATTTTTGATAGTGATGGAACGATGTGGGATTGGGATGTAATTTGGGAATGTTTTTTAAAAGCTTTGCTTCTCATTTCCCTCCTGCGTGCTCAGGGTGCAACATGCTCCAGTTAATCTCTTCACTAATTAAAAACAAACCTGTAAATTTACCTCCCTGTATAACCATCTTTACAAGCATTTCATTAGCTGAACTTTTCCTACTTTGTACATCAGAAACATGTATGAAGCCCCTGAAACCAGCACAAAATTTGGGTTTTGTGCACTTTCAACCCCCAGTAACTGCATGAATCTTGTTGCTTGCAGAGCTTTCTCAGGGAGGATGCATGAGTTCCTTCCGATGGAACAGAGGAGGGGAATTCAAAGGCCGCAAGTGGTACACGGACCTGCCCACCGACTCCTCTGTAAGTTTTCACAGCCATCTTGATACGATAGCTTAAAGCGGGTTGCCTTTCAGCAGAAGTTTTTTGGAGGGAGCAGCCACTAAGACTTTTGAGGAACAGGGTAAAATCTTGTTGGCATCATTTCCACAGATAATCCCCTTGCAGTCAGGGGGTTCTGTGGGAAATAAATGCAGATGGGATTGGACATTGTGTTGATCACACATGCAGTTAGTTGCACATCGTAGCCTTAGGCTGGGCTCTTAGACTCCTCTGCAATGTCAGATCACTACAGGGAGCAGCCTGACAGGTGGGGATCTCATTGGGGCACTTCTCTTGCCGTTTGGTTTTTTTTTTTAAAAGGCCAAATGTCTGCCTTAACCTAACAATTTCTAATGCAAGGAAAACCTTTCACCTTGTTCTCGTTTTCCTTTACTCTAATGGATAGAGGGGGGAAAATGCAGTTGGAATGGCCTGGGTGTGGTTTAATTCAGGAATGTTTTGTGAGAAATCTGAAATCTGTCGCGTATCCCACGTGAGAGAAGACTCGTAGTGATGCTTTGCCCCTTAACCTGGAAGTTGGGAGGGAACAGCACCTCGGTGTAAACAGTGACTTGAAAATGCAACTGAGGTGATGAAAATAATTAAAAGGAAGAGCACAGAACAATTCAGGGAGTCAGAAGTGAGGCTTTACAGTGTGAGTCTTCAGTTGAACTCTGTATCTGAAAGTCGAATTAGGGCGATTTGGTTTGGTGTTTTTTTTTTTCCCCACTCTCAAGAGATTTTCAGTTACTTGGGAGAATAAAACCCAGGAGATGGGAATGTCAGAGCTTCACAGCTTTGCTGACAAAGATACAGTTAGAGTCAGTTGCTGGAAGCTGAAGTTGTACAAAATCCATCCTGAAATAGAATTTGATTCTCTATTTGTGAAGATAATTAAATACTTGATAGTGACTGGCCACAGAGGAACTCAGTGTCTTGCTCCACAGCAGGGTGAGCAGCTCAATAAAGATCATGAGACAGAGGAGGGCACCCTGGAATGAAACTTTCAGGAATTCTGGGAAAGAAGTTCTGATCTAAGAGATTAAAAGAAACACTTGCCATGAGGTTCTGACATTAAATTACTCCAGACAATTACTGTAAGAATTAAAAAAAAAAAAAAAAAAATTTGCATTTTTTGTTGATCACACTGCAGGTAACACAAAGCTGTGCTTTCCAAGGCACATCGCCCAGATTTCTTGAGACTGTGGCCATTTAGCCCAGAGAAACTCTTTAGTTTTTTCTGTCAAACAGATCCCGTTACATAGAATGAACACAGCAAGTACCAGGTTACAGGTAACTGGGTGATGTTGCCCACATAAAATGTTGAGACCTCCCTGGGAAGGGTTAAACCACCAACAGCAGGCTGCACCCTGGTTTTCTGGATATTGTTTTAGGATTTTATTTCCAAATTTTGGCATTCTTAGTAAGACTCGTGGCCCGCTCAGGTTTTTCCAGTGATTTTTGGTTTGGCCTTTTGTGAGGGAAAAGGAGAGACTTGCTGTAATTTTTATTTCATCTGCCCTTCTGAGCCGAATCCTCGCAGCGAGCACAGAACCTGTCGCTTGAAGAGTTTGCTTGGAGTTCATGGCCTAAATCTGCTAAATCTGTGACTTTGCCAAATTCTGCAGGGTGCCGGGATAAAGTTGCTCGTGGGGGAACTGAGCTCCTGACACGCAGCATCAGTTTATCGCGTTGTGACTGAGGCTGTTTCACTTACTGGACAAACCAAACCTGCCTGCACGTGGAGTGCCGGGCCCGTCGGAATCTTTGCTTTAAGCATTAAACTGCCTCGGGCTCCTGAGCACACCGGGGTTGGGTCGGTGTTGCAATCACAAAAACTGTAATTAATACCTGAGGTTATGGCAAGAAAGCTGCTGTATTTTTAAGGATGCTAAAGCGAGATTTGTTTTAATTTTTCCAGATCATCATGCACGTGTTTTGTACTTACCTTGACTCCAGGCTGCCGCCTCACCCCAAATATCCTGACGGCAAAACCTTCACGTCTCAACACTTCATTCAGACACCAGATAAACCAGGTACCGGTGCCCACACTGAGCTGCCCTTGGCCTCGGATCACATCAGCACCTTTGAAATCCCGATCACCTTTGAAACTTTTCCTTTGCAGACACTTCCAATGAAAATGTATTTTGCATTTACCAGAGCAGCATCAACCCACCTCACTATGAGCTGATATACCAGCGCCACGTCTACAGCCTGCCCCAGGTACGGTGGTGGGAGCAGTGTCCTCCGCCTGTCAGGAAACCTGATTTGGGTTGGATTTGGGATGATTTTTTTTTTTCCAATTCTAGCCACATTTATTGACTGTTGACACTTCGGCTGGCTCAAGTGCAGGCAGTAAACCTTAGCTTGGCCTTTGACCATGATGTTATAATTAATCTGCTCCAAAATAGTAGTTTTAGTGTCTGTTTAAGATTCATACGTACCTAGGTAGTAGGTTCCTCTTGTTTATTTTCTAGCAATTTATTTTAAAATACCACGTCACACAGTCCTCAATGTGTGTTGTCACCTGGTGCCTGTCCCCGAGAATCCTGGGGGGAAGCTTCTGTCCTGGTTTTTAGGCTCAGAGGGTAACTAAGCCCCATGCAGCCCTTTGCTCACTCCTTGCCCCTCAGCGGTGGGAAGAAGAAAAATTTAAACAAAAAGTCTCAGGAGTTGAGATGAGGACAGGGAGAGGTTTCCTCACCCATTAAAAGAGGCAAAGCCCTAGACTAGGGGAAGAAAAACACTTTTAATTCAAACACTAACAAACCCAACACTTAACAGACTGGGACAGAGAGAAGCATTAAAAAACACCTCCCCCCACCCCTCCCTTCTTCCCAGGCTCAGTTTTGTTTGAGGGTCCTGCTTTTATACAGTTTAACAAACAAATCATACTTAAAAAAAAAAAAAAGGGGGGGGGGCATGGAAACATCTGGTAGATCAGCTTCACTCGGGGGCATCCTGGATCTGGCTGGGATCCGGGGCACTTCTGAGGAGTTCCTATCTCCTGGGAAGCAGCTGGCTTTTAGGGTTCTTGTTTTCAGAGGAAATCTGGTCGTATTTCATGCGGATGGGATGCTGCTCCGGAGGTTCACTCAGAACTCAGCTCTGATGTGAGGCCTGCGGGTCAGGCTTTGGCTCGAGGCCTGAGGTTCAGGCTTTTTTCTGTCAACCTCCCAGCACTAAACCACAACCACGGGGGCTTCTCCTTCCCTCAGAGCCCCGGGGTCCTCCCCAGGCAGATCCCTGCCCCTCTGGTGACCCCCACGGGTGCAGGGGGGGCCCTGCCGTCTCCCCACGGGATACAGGGGGGCTCTGCTCCAGCACCACCCCCCTTTCCACCCCCTTCCTCCCGCTGACCTCGGCATTGGCACAAGTCTCCTCATCACTCCTCCTATGCCCGACCCCCCCCCCAGGTTCCCCATCTTCAATAGGTCATGGCAGAGGCGCGGCCTTGGCGTAGCGCTGGGTCTCACCTGGAGCTGGGGGGGGCTTCCAGAACCTTCTCACAGAGGCCACTGCTGCAGCCCCCTCCTCTTTCACCAAAACCATCAAAAACTCCAAATCACCAAAACCCCCCAACATCCAAAAATCTGCCAAAACGCCAAAAAAACCCTGAAAAACCCACCCCCGCAAAACCAAAACTCAAACCCGCAAAACCAAAAAAACCAAAAAACACCCCCCTAAAAAAACCCCAAACCCCCCAAAATCCTGAACCCTCTAAAGTCCTATAAACTCCAAAAACCCCAAAACCCCCATGAACACCAAACCCCAAAGAACTCCCAAACCACCAAAACTCAAAAATACAAAAAAGCCCCCAGACCCCCCCCC